TTAAAAAGAAACATAAAACAGAGGAAGAGAGAACTCCTTTCTAATTAACATGCAGTGTTTTTACTTTCTAGGCTAAAATTCTTAGGATTACCACTGTTTAAAATAAAAATAATAAAATTTTTAATTTTAATAAAAAAATAGCTTCAATCTCAATTTCAACGGGATACGAGGTTTCATGCTACACGTGTTGAGCAAATTAAACGTTCTTAATCAAGGAGAGAACGTGATTGCAATGGCTCATGACTAGCAGTTGAACAAGAAAACCTTAATGACACATTCTTTTTGGCAGCGTCGTTAATTTTGCTTGGGAGTAATTAATTCTAGGGTCTAGACCGGATTACGTGCGCCTGTAAATGATTTCCAGCTCCTTGTCAGGAAAGAACGCCGAATAAACATTAATTTAAATTAATGAAGAGCAGAGCCAACGTTTTTAATGAAAGAACTCAAGTTTGCACCCAATTTTATGGTACATTAGCTCATCTTTTAATCAAATTCGAGAGGTAGAAAACAATAACGTAGCTCAATGAGGAAAGATTGCACAAGTTAGATATATTCAAACCTTCCTTAAATATTTAATTATTATATCACTCTCTCAAGAACTTTGTTCCAAGCATTTATTAAATCTGCGACCAGTGCACCTATTATATACTTAATTAAAATGGGAAGCTTATAGTGAGGCCACATGTATACATGTCAAGCCGATTCTGTTCATACTTCAGAGGGGTCTCAGAGGAGACTTTCCCAAAAAGAGTCATTAATTAATTTAGTTGCCATCGTTGAAACCATTTAATTTCAATCAAAATTTATTGTGATTAGATGTGATTGCTTGTTTCTACTATTTGAAAATTAATTCAAACCACCAATTAATGTGTTTCTATTTCAAATACCACTCATGCATGCCTTTCTTTTTCTATAAGGTTTCAAAGTTTGAATTTCTTTGTTTTACGCAAGAAAAAAGAATGCCCTTAACATAGCTCTTGTTATTCAGTGAGAAAAAAAAAAAAAAAGAGCATACCAAGCCAAACTCTTTTAGCTTCATCGTCAATGCTGTTGGTTGGTTTGGAATATATATTTATTTATTTTCTCCTGTTCTAGAATGTTTAGTTTATAAATGGTGGACCTTTGTTTAATGCCATTGAGTCGTTGTTAAAGAGTCCGTCCATCAATTTGGCGTACATGGTTATTTGGATTACGAATTAGGAGACCGTAAAACAAATATTAATGGGAAATTGATTAAAAAAAAGAGTCTACATGCAGAATAGTTAATAATCTCCCGCCAAATTTTATTCCTGTTCATTAATTGCAGAATATTTGTGAAGCTACGTACTGGTGAAGACCGAAGATCTTTCTGATATCAATAATGCCTGCAAATTAGCTTCTTCTTTATAATTCAAGGGGTTCACACTTGCTCTCAACTGTGTCTTACATTTGGAGAATCTGTGAGACGGGAGTCAATTACACGTAGCAAAAGAAAAGTACACAGAATGGACAAGATTTTAATTATAAATAGTTCTTGACAAAGCACATTAATTTGTTGGTTCATCGGTGTTGGTTAGCTAGCTACTCGTTAATTTAAGAGTTTGATTTAGCTGCTCTTTATTGCTCCTTTTATTTTCTTATAGAGTCGGTTCTTTTCCAAAGATGATCGTGACTGATTTGCGAGGCTCCAGTCACCAGATACATCATTATATACACCAGCCGTTCCCGGGAAAATCGAGGATAAACTAGACTGATAATGATATTGAAAGAAAAAAAATGCAAAATATTGTAGAGAATTTGGAAAGGTCGTCGAATTCTCCAGCGTTAGTCATGTATGTGTGTTGTTAATTCCTGTGTTTTTCCAAGGTTATGTGCTATTCTCGAACATTAGACGATAGTAATTTACCATGCGATAATTATGGATCGAATTAGTATGGTAATAAGAAAAATAGCTGGAATTTTCATATGCAGAGTATCTGGTCTGGCCTGCAAGAAAACAAAAACCTCAAGACCGAACAAGAATAAATCTTGACTCATAGCCTACATTTGCAGTCTAGTCTAATGTGTATCGGTTCAAGTAAAGCAAAAACCTGACGCCATTTCAGGTTATAGCGCATGCAGCCAATTTTGATGACTTGGAAGGGAGAACAAGTGGTAATGTGGTTTTGTCCATTGCATCAACTTATGGCTTGGCGCTTGAAAGGATTTACTTCCCTTCATCGTTCACACGGCACTTGTTTGATACTCCATCTCCAAGAGATCAATTGCCTTGATTTCTAGAGTGGTTTTATGACCCGAGAGATTAAATCTGGTTGGCTGCAGAGGAGGTTAAGGTATCACCGTCGTCCTGAATACTAACTCATTAATCAAATGTGTAAACATGAGAATTTCTTGCGGCTTGCTTGCTGGGCTGGGCAATCCTGAGGATCTGTTCAGCTGAAAATTATACAAGCACGAAGTTTGACTCGTGAAGAAAAAACAAAGACAACATTTTCGTTGAAGATTATAATTAAATGCATTCTCATCTCGGGTCATGAACGCAATTAATTTCATTTCTAGTAACTAACTTATTCCAACAATTAATCCATGTAGACAACAATATATATATATATATATATATATAGAAGTTTGAATTTTGTTCTGGTAAACAAGTTTGCTGTTAAGTGGTCCAAAATCATTGTCCTATTTAATAAGCTATGTTCCATTTTTAATTTATAAAAAAGAAAAGAAAAAAACGCTGATTGATGAGTTGCTACATCAAGAACATTTCTTGCGTCTAAAATCAGCTGATCATCGATGACTTCTATCTAATCTAGAATTCAATATGTAGACTTAGTATAACCACTCTAGACACATTTCTAGTTTGAAATCGACATGGCACTGCCCCCTTCACTACGCTGTGCATTCGGATTAATTAAGTTCGATCAGTAAAATGCAAAATAATCTCGACTGGTGATCTTAAGCTCTTCTGTTTTTCAGCTTGACGACATGGACACAGAGAAATAAGCATGATCATGATCATGATCATCTAACTAACTATATATTAATCCTCGGATCAAGAGGCATACACATTTTGACACTTTTACATTTGCTTGATGTAAGATGAATGCATCCCAGGGCTTTCTTTTCTTTTCCTCGAGGAGCTTTTAAGCCATCGTCGGTACTGCACGAACCATTAATGAAAATCTTGAAATAACTGTTCTTGCCCCTTCAAGACCGTACAGATATTGCCCGAAAGGTCCATATGTGACTTGGACTACACACACACACATATCGAAATTAGATTGATTATTGTTATCCCCGGGTAAGAAAAGCAAGCTTCATATGAACAGAAAGTTTGTCATTATAGTGAAAATGGATGCATGATTTGGAGTGGTTCACAATTTTGCATCTTGAACTTCTTTATTTTCTTTCGGAGGTAATTTGAACCGGGGAAGTACCCCAGGCAGCTGCATTATTATCCATCTGTCAAAAAAGAAGAGGAAAAAAAAAAAAGATTCTGCCGCTGGCGTAGAACACAAAAAATGTCAGAGAAAAAGATAAAGAATGAACTGTCTGGAGATGCTGACGATATGTTCTTTTGCTTATAAATCACAACACGCATGTGGGGCGCACGTGACATGATTAAAGTGAAAAAAGTTCTAGAGCCTGGTACGTGTTCCATGTCCTTCTCAAGCTTTAACGAAAATTGATTTTTTTAAAAATAATTTATTTTTTTTGTATTATTAAAGTTAATCAATAAAAAATATTTTTTAAACAAATAAAACTTTAATTTGAATTTTAAAAAAATTTATATTTTGAATAGAAAATACTTTTTAAAAATTATAAAAAATTTAGAAATATCATATTAGTTGTTAATTATATCAAATTTGATTCTAAAACTTTAGATTTTTCATATATATTTTTTTGAATTTTATTCTTTAAAATTTAATTTAATTTTTTTTTATATCAATTTTAATCTTTATTTTTATGATTGTTATTTACTTTTCTCTTATCATTATTTTAATTGAGATTTTCTATCAATCAGATTTGATTCTTATTCTTTTTACTAATATTTATTTTATTTAAAATAATTTATAAAAATATAATTAATTTTTTTAATTCCATAATCTTTCAACTTTTTTATCTGTTAGATTTAATTTTTAATATTATTTTGATTGTTATTTATTTTACAGTTTATTTTTCATAACATGACCAAATATTAAAAAATATATTTTAACTTATTTTTCATAACACTATTAAATATTAAAAAATAATTTATTTTCTAGAAATATATTTTTCAAGAAAACTGTTTCAAAAAACAACTATTTTTTAGTAAATAAACAAAATTTCACACTTAGGAAATGAGTTTCATGTAGTTAGTCAACCAGCCACCTAGCTAGATGTATCCTTTTAATTTGTTCATAAATAGGGTTTGGATTTTGAAATTCACTGTATTAGTTTTTAATTTCCTGCTTAAAATGTATAAAAATTTTCTTACCTGGATTTTTTTTCAGAGCACAATATTATGTTCATTTGACAATTACAAGGAAATTCTCTATCATGAAATCTGCGTGAGAGTTAATTGTAGTTTACAGCCTGTTAATGTGAAAGAGAAACTCGGATATTAAGAAAGTTGAAGTCACTGAAATATTCACCATTAATTAAATTATCATAATTTCTTAATTATGAAAACTAAATACTATAAAATAATTCGATCTATTAACTCTTCATGTATTAATTAGTTTGGTTGTGATTTTAGTATTTGACTATTTACTATTAAAATAAGGTCCGTTATACTGATCATAATGCATGAACATATTTACTTGGGAATTTCTCTTTCTTTAGCTCCCAGATGCTACACTTCCAAGGGAAGTGGCATGATCGTCCTCCCACTTTATGGGATAAAGGGCAAAACATGGATTTGAAATACTTTTGAATGATGGATCAGTAGATCCACCAATAGCTAGTGTTTTCAGTATTCCAGCAGTAGCAAGAAGATCGAAGCAAGAAAAAGGTCAAGTGCAAGGTTGACAAGGAACTCATGAACAAACAATATGTATTAGAAAATTAGGTCACCGATATATAAACTTCTTTAATCTGACTCAACAATTAGCACCAATCGATCTCCTTAATTCTCTCTCTCTCTTTTCTTTTCAATGGTTTCCCTCCTTTTTCTCCTAACATTACAGGTGTCAGAAAGACCCATCAATAACAGTCCGTTTCGTCAACATGGCTAAACAGAAATTCATCATGACACATATCTACCAAACCTAATATGGTTACTTTATTTAATTTTTTCTTAATGAGTATGTTTTTCGATGTCCCGTGCCTGCCCCATCTTGAGGGCATAAGTAATTGGCATAGTAGATCATCATGTCCAAAGAGGTTCCCATGATGTGCCCAAGTTGTTCTCGTCAAGAAAGCAGCTTGTGTCAACGTATTGGTGTTGTTGCAAGATGGGTTCTTGTTGAGACTGTGTCATTTCCATGCAGAGTAAAGCGACTAAATTGGCTTGCTGGCATTGCATGTTCACCACCTCAGCTTGTGCCTTGGCTAGTTGTGCTTGGAGGTCACTAACTTGTTTTTGAAGCTGGGAAATTGCACCAGCACAGCCATAAACCGGGTCTCTGATCCTCGCATTTGCTTCATAAACCATGCTGCTTACTGCATCTGCTCTCTGGGACTCTGGCAGTTCCTGCAGTTTTTCACATTGGTAACAGTACTGATCAGTTTTCAAAATTGAATCATGAAAGCGGTCCCTGCAATGTTTTAAGCAAAAATCGATCTGATGTGATTCCTAACATGACAATATGTTGACCTTGACATGGAATCCCAAACTTGCCCTTTGGGGGTGGGTGATGCGTATTTGCACCCATGTGCAAGTTGTGGTGTGGAATGACTTGCCAATAAATACAAACAAATGCCGTGGGAAGAAGTAGCTAGCAAATCAATTGACCTCGATCTATTATGGACACCTTTTTTTGGTTTTGACTTCTTTGTGCATAATGCTGATAACTAATTGTCCATACCCTCCTCTCTTTTTCTTTTGGTTCTGTCTGGCAATAGTCATTCCCCAATTCAACCTCTCATGATCATTTTTTTTCCATAAAGCAGGTGCAGCAGAACTGCAGCTAGCTGCTTTGCTTTTGTTTAGAGAATGCAAACAATGGTTGGAGAGAAAAAAAGAAAGTTAAAACCATTTAAAAATCTAAAGGCCCTCAAATGTCCACTATCGAACTTTTTCTTTAAAAAAATATCATACCGGTCGAAAAAAAATCAATTTTTGGAAAAATTGTTTCAAGTCAAACCTGAAGAACTGCATTGTGCTTCTACATTTCTGTCTGAATATTGGACGAAAAAAAGGATGAAAAGACATTAAAAAAATTTCTATTAATGTTCAAATCTCTTAAATTCAAATATTATGGAGGAAGGCTACTTGTCTTGTAAGGAAACTGATGGAACCAAAGAATATCTTACGGTACCTGCAAAAACTTGATGATGTTGCTGGCTCCAAAGACCCTATGAGCAATGGTGAACTTGTATGGCTCAGAAGGAGGAAAATAAGGAGCTAAAACACACTTGTCAACGCAACGCCGGCGAAGGATTTTGCAGGCAGCACAAGGGCTAACAACAGCCGGAGGAGGGAGGGGAGTGGCAGCTGAAGGTGGAGTAAGATTTGGAGAAGACTTTGAAGGAGAAGGAAAAGTAGTCGGAGATGAATGATGAGAAGAAGGTGGTGAAGAAGAAGATGGAGAGTAGGAGAATTGAGAAGGAACATTGATTGGAGATATTGCTGCAGACATATCCATATTTGATCAGAGAGAGAGAGAGAGAGATGTGGAGATGGGAAATGGAGGAGCTAATTGTTGCTGCTTTGCGAGTATACTTCACAGAAACCAAAAGGAGGGAATATATAGAGAAAGAAAGTATTTATTTTAATGATGTCAAGCTTATGTCATTAATCTTTTAATGATGTCACAATTTGAAACAGCTACACTTTGCGTTTGGTTAGTTTAACAGTGTCCGTAATAAAAGGTGCAAGAATATAAATATAAAATAAATTTATTTTTAAAATAAGTATTTATTATTTAAAAATAAAATGGTATATGGACTTTTTTGGTCCTTACAAAACACTACATTTTCTTTTCTTTTTTGATCTAGTCGTAACATGTCTTTAGTTGGAAGGCAACTCGTCTAGGGCAGGACAGCTTAGGAAGAGTCATACAGTACTGCCAAAATTAATTCAGAGAAGTTTCTTTCAGTGATGGCTGTGAATTATCAATTTTCTAGTTGCATACGTGACCTTGAATTACACGAACACTTAATTTTGTTTTCAACGTAACATACAAATTAATTATGCCGAACCTTGAATTTTTGTCATTTTAATTCTGTTAGTAATTTATATATGTATATATTGCATTTTCTAGAAAGAAAATCAATAGATTTTTTAACAAGTCTTAATATTTGCTGGGAATGTGAAAATTAAAATATTAAAGAAGATATATATTAGTATTTTTATTAGTATTAAGTGGTGTTTTAATATTGTAGTAGAGTTGTTTTTCAAAATGATTTTTATTTAAAAAAATTAAAAAAACAAGGCTAAACCGCATAAACAAACAGTGATTAATCATACACTACAGAAGAAATAGTTGATTCTAGCTTTGAGTTTAGCACGATATATATGTGTGTTGAAACCTTTTTCTTCCTCCACTGTCTATATATTAAAGAACCTTTTTCAGGGATCTGTAGATGACATCATAGAGCAAGATGGAAAGAGAACCCACTAGGAATTCAATAGAAAAGTGGGCAAAGAATTAATTATTTTATACCAGAAGGTCTGCTAAACACGATTATGTCGAAAACTAGTTGATTAAGATAGCACTAGTGTACGTTGATCTCTTGGTTAGTACATAGATTAATTAAAGGCTTCACCTAGGAAAAAAACATGGCGAAAGAAAAAATAAAACTGGGGAAGTAATCTTGCCAAGTAAGGAAATCAAACGCTTGTATGATTTTGTTGTGCAATATTCTTTAGCATATTCAAATTACTTCAAAAATTAAAACCATTAAAATGAATGTTCAACAATCGGCTCCTTTTGAGAGCTGACTCACTTTAAAGTAGAGGTTTAGACGTTGATGAAGTGACAAAAAAATATGTTTTGGTTCTTACCTAAAGTTTGAAATATACATTAGATTTAGAGTAAAAAAAAAAATCATTCATATTTTTTAAAAATTATCATAACTTAAAAACTTAAATTATTAAACAATATCCTAAAATATAATTTATATTATTTTTTAAGATAATATTTCAAGTGAAAATTCTTTATATTTGCAACTTAATTTATATTATTTTATACATATTTTTTATTAAATAAATAAAAATAAAAAGATTTAAATTCATAATCATTTGACTATCAAATTTTTAATATTATATTAAATAATTATTTTAATCTAAAAATTTTATCTATTAAATAAAATCTTTAAATATCATTTATATCATTACTGCTTCACATCGTCCTTCACTGCATAACTTGACTGATCATCTACGTGGATCCTTGTTGGCAAGTACTCTCCATCATTGCTTATAAGACGTTAAAATTTTAGTAGGTATTGCTCATCACTAACTCCATACCAATACTAGTCCTGTCACATTTGCCTTTCAGGACTCGGGAGATAAAAATGGCTTCGAGGCTGATGCCACCAGAGTACTATATAATCCCCAGCATTAGTCGTAAATTAGTTATAATTCTAGGAATAAATTAACTACCTTCTGTTATGTCATCATAAATATCGCTGTCAAACCTTCGTTCCAGCGATCAGAACCACACATTTGTCCGAATTCCTGAATTTGTAGTGATGTTTTTGTTACTGATCTTGTAGGTAAATTAACTAAACATGAGTAGGTGTGGATCATCTTGGTACCAACCTGTCGAATCACTTACCAAGAGACCTTGTTATAGAATCTCAAGGCTGATGAAGCTGTAACAGTAGTTTTGGCTTCTCTCCACTAGTCTGAATAATGTATGCTTGTATGTATTCCACAATATATAGTACTACAGATATGATCACGTGTACGTACACATGTATTCATAGACAGGCAGGCACTAAAATATATGCAATAGAGACGTCCAGAGCGCAAGCTTGCTCTTTCTCTATGAGATATATTGCCATCTGCATGGGGAAAAATCAAAATTGAAGTCTCGACTACAAAGAGAATGCCACCTGGCCGATCTAATCGCCATCCAAATTAGTTCATCGGATGCCGGCTTTTTACCGAGGGATTATGACTTGCAATATTGCTGCCACAACAGCGAAGGAGATGCAACCTATCACCATCTTTCAACTACTTAACTGCATGAAGTGGCGCGTATTAGAGATAATGACCGAAGATTTAAGAGAGTACAACAGATGTAGCCCTAAGCTCGTATTGTCCATGGTGGGTCACTAGTTCGGTGAGAACCGATGGCTCGTGGGGGAGCAAGAAAACGAGAGAGAGAAGAGGATCCTTATCATCTTCGTTTTGTTATAAAAAGTCCCCTAGAGTGTGACCTTTTAAAAGAGACTTTTGTTTTCTCCAAGTAATATTTCTACGCTCTAATGCCATTCTTTCTTCAAGTTAGAAATTTTTGGGTCTGTAACATGGTTTGTAGTGCGAAGTAGTTGGACAGTATTTTTCTTGCCTATTCTTAATTTCAATGTGGTGCCTTTGTTAGGTTTCTCCCCTTTCGTCACCGATATTAATTTTAAATTAGTTAAGAGTAATTATAAAAAAGGCCCCAGGAAGACAACTAGTTAAGTGCTCGATCGCTCGTTGCAATATTAATTAATTTATATGTTTGTCATAATTGTTTTTTTTTTTTCCTTTAAGTTGGTTGGTATTCTTGGATTCATTCTCATGTGTTGAGATTAACTTTTTACCATGAAAATACACATAAACAAAAAAAAAAAAAAAAGCAATTTGGGTCTTCGAAATAGCATACTCTATTCGAGTTGCTCTAATGATATTATAAAAAGCAAAATCTTGATGAATTTTTCAATTTCAAAGTGGTGTTTTTCTATTGGAATAAAAAAAGAAAGAGTGGATAATGAGTACAGTAAACCACTAATTTAATGAGTCCACTCTCAAGTTTTCTAATTCGAGATTGATACCGAATACTATAGGCTTCGCGGCACCATGGCGCTTGAAGCTTTTCAGGGGATACGTTTCTCAACTTCTCTTGTCGCGTTCGAGACAGACAGGGAGTCTTTTGCGTGTGGACCAAAGCCAAGTATAAAGAGATATGGATGGAATTATTACCCCACCCATACAATAGAAAGGTAAAAAAGGTGAATCGATCTTATTAACCATGATTGACACGAGTCATGATACTGTGACAAATGACTTCAACATTTCTTAAATTTCCCTTTTAATTTTCAGCAACCTAATACTCATGCCAAGTTCCCCTAAAGTCAACAAATGTTCATAATAAATCTAGCCACCAGTATGTTCAAATCCCTTTTTCGCACCAAAATCATGCTAGAATTATTTAGCCTCCACCACCAATGAATGCTTGTTGCTCGTCTCTGCCATACCTCACAGGGGATCAAGCGTGTGCGCATATATGATTCAGATAAGCATCTGGAAACATGCAGTAGCAGATTTTGAATCGATGAGAGTCATATTTATGAACATTAATTAAAGGTAAAAAAAAAAAAGGGATTTCGTACACATTTAGTCTAGATTAGGCCGGAGTGCTATGATTCCAAAACGAGAAAAAAAAAAAAAGGAAATATGGTACGTAGTCCACATCTTACAAACGCGAAGACAAGAGATGAATGAGGCAAATGAGCCTCCAATACGAGAAACAATGGTAAGACTAAATGATAAATTAAGACATGATGTTTGAAACGGGATCAGAGAAATGAGGCTTTGACTGCACAGCACATCAGAAAAAAGTCTTGACGGTCATTCGGCTGTTCCACAATGGTTTTTTATATATATATATATAATTAGCATAGTAAACATAAGATATTATAGTTTAAAAAAATTTGGTGAAGCAGCGTTTTTTTATCAAATTGCGTTTTTAAAATGATGCGAAAGTTGTATCTAGTTGTATTAATCAGATAATTATTTTATATAAAAATCAAAATTTTATAAATTTCTTTTTTAAAATATATTTTATAAATTAAATATATATATTTATCTAACTTGTAGACTACAAAATAAACTATAATTAAAATCTTAAAAAATTATTATTTAGTGGTTGTTATCTATTTCTCAATGTCAATAATATAGCTAGATTTATGATGATAAATGATTTTGAACATTCAAGTATATATTTGTCATAATTAAATAAAAATTTAACCTAGATAAATTATTATTATGATAGGTTTAGATTCAAAAAAAGATTTGATCACCAAAATAACATATCAACTATGTATTTACTTTTGATGGACACGTTTAAATTTTTACAAGAATTTTTAAAGGCTATTTTACCTATAATAGTTATTGTGTCGCTATACAGACTGTCGAGTTTCTAGATATAAAAAATTATAGTCAAGCCCTCTAATTTTGATAGTTTTAAAAAAAAAATTATATTATTTTTAAATTTATTTAATTAATTTTACTTATCATTACAAATCAGTCAATCAATTAAACGAAAAAATTGAACTTTTAAAAGCACAACAAGGTAAAATGTATTGTTTCACCAACTTTTTTTGAAATGAATATGTTACTTCATCAATGTTTACTATGCTAATTGTCCAGTTGATGCTTCCACAGTGCAATCTAGATTCCTTTACTGATTACACAATAGTTTTGGTGTTTGATAAATTATTTTCTATACGAACCTTTTTTGGGTGTTTGATAAATTATTTTCTACACGCACCTTTTATCTAA